AACGCCCACTTCCTCCCCTACCTCCTCCATCCATCCACCATCGTCGCCCACCTCACACCTTCCTCTTGCACCTCTTTCATGCATCCACCATAGCCAACCACCTCACACCTTCTTCTTCCTCCGCCTCCTTCACTTATCCATCATAGCCGCCCCCTCACACCTCCTTCCTCCTCCACCTCCATCACCCATCCACCATAGCCAACCACCTTACACCTTCCTCCTCCACCTCCTGCATCCATCCACCATAACCAAACGCCTCACACCTTCTTCCTCCTCTACCCCCTTCACCCATCCACCATACCCGACCACCCCACACACTCTTCCTCCTCCACTTCCTTCACTCGTCCGCCATAGTCGCCCACCTCACACCTTTTTCCTCCTCCACCACCGTCACCCATCCACCATAGCCAACCACCTCACCCCTTTTGCCCTCCTCCACGTCCATCATCCATCCACCATAGCGAACCACCTCACCCCTTCTTCCTCCTCCACCTCCATCACCCATCCACCATAGCCAACCACCTAACACCTTTTCCTCTTCCACCTCCATCACCCATCCACCATAGCCAACCACCTCACACCTTCTTCCTCCGCCACCTCCTACACCCATCCACCATAGCCACCCACCTCACACGGTCTTCCTCCTCCACCCCCTTCACCCATCCATCATAGCCAACCACCTCACACCTTCTTCCTCCTCCACCTGCTTCACCCATCCACCATAACCGCCCAGCTCACACTTGTTTCCTCCTCCACCTTCTTCGTCCATCCACCATAGCCAACCACTCCTTCACCTCCTTTACCCATTTGCCATAGCCAACGACTTTACACCCTCTTCCTCCCCCACCTCCTTCATCCATCCACCATAATCACCCACCTCACACCTTCTTCCTCTTCCACCTCCCTCACCCATCCACCATAGCCAACTACCTTACACCTTCTTCCTCCTCCACGTCCTTCATTTATCCACCATAGCCGCTCACCTCACACCTACTTCGTGATCCACCTCCACCCATCCACCATGGTCAACCACCTCACACCTTCCTCCTCGACCTCCTTCACCCATCCACCATAGCCAAACGCCTCTTCCCCCACCTCATTGGGCGACCGACGCCATGTTCAAAGGAATATGGGATTGCGAAACATAGAAGGGGGGCTTAGGTAGGACAGTAGGATAAGTCGAGGATAAGCATTAGACATGGGTACTCTCTCTTATTCTCTCTCTCTCTCTCTCTCTCAGAGAAAGAACTTTGGCCTCACTTGGTGGAAACAGAGGGCAAAGGGAGGGTCACCGGTCCCTTGCGCCATCAAGAAGGAAAAGATTTTTTAGGATTGGAAAAATTGTGAGCACAAAGGACTTGAGGATTCATAAGGACTTGAGGATTGACAAGTTATGAGGCTTGAAAAGACTCGCAGAGTGAAAGAAAGGTCAATCGACTCGACCCACACCCCCATTGCATGTGAAAGATAAGAGGATGGGTTGGGCAATGGAAAGGAATGGAGAAGGAAGGAAACAAGGGACATAGAAAATAAGCATGCTGGAAGGATTATTTGTTGACCCCGAAGGGGGTTGTGCTTGTCTATATTGCATCGAGTGTGCAGGTGAGTAGCAACCCTAAGGTGTCTTGAACAGGATAGTGCCCGGTGAGGCCAGGCGGCGAAAAGGACAGAAGTTCAGTCGGTTGTGAACGTAACCTTTGCCTATGAATGAACCCTAATTTGCATGTCGTTCCGCCCTTGAAAGAAAATGTGGTTGGAATAGTTGGATGTCTGAGGAAGTGATGGATGGTCAAGAGGACCACCGAATTGTGTGAAAATGTGGGCGGGGCCTCGAAAAGACTAAGGGGTGTTTAGACAAGCAACAAGATGCGACACGTGAAACATGATTGATGTGTAAAGATAAAGGAAGCAAGCACGTAGACCGGCTAGAGGTCCGAGCAGAGGGCGCCCAGTGATGCGACTGGGGTCCGCGTGACTTAATCAACAGGCCTAAGCCGAGGGGCGGCCCTCTACCTCCATGAAGTCGCTAGACTATGCACTTAGTGAATGGATGTGTGGCCCAAGGAAGATGCTTGGCCTACTCATGAAGGAACTTTCAAAGAATCCTTGGAATGCATGAGTATTGGAAGGAACAATTGCCTGAGAACACAATGACGTAGCGAAGAATGAACGCTTGGGAAGGATCAACGAGACTACCGACCTAGCGTGAGGGACGAGCCACATCCCTAGTGTCATTGGCACCCCCATCCATCTCAAAGCACTAGGTGGGCGTGACCCTGTGACAAATGGCTCCGCACCCTGAGCATGAGCGTGGGCGGGGTTGAGCCGACTAAGACCCACTGAAGGGTCCACTCAAACTCAAAAGTCGAACAATTTAGGGCCCTACAAAATTGGTGGTGGTGCCGAGTAGGGGGTTAAATTGACCCTTACCATTTCGGAGGGTGTGGCCCGACGCATGATCGTGTATATGAATGTAGAGAAAATATGGACTTGGGCTTGCTCTTTCCCTTTAGAGAATCAGATTTGAGGGTGGTTGGGCCCATGGCATGGGCAAGGTTGGAGGTATAGCATGCATGACTACACACTTGAGCAGCTCGCTCCTTTTGAGGGAGTGGCTCTAACACCCCTTCTTTCGGTGCTGGTGTTCGCTAGTCCGGAGAGGCATGTGACAAATCGCAGGTCATCCTTTTCTTTTGGTTTGAAAAAAGGGCTCCGGTTATTTGGCAGGCGGTTGGTGTTCCGGTTCCGTGCGGAGCCCAAAAAAAATCCCGCAGTGGAGTGATCCGACCGGACAGGTGTCTTTCGGTATGCTCCTTTTGGGCCAGAGGGTCCCTTGCACTAGTACTCTAAATTGCTTGAAGGAACCCATATGAACACAGCGGTCATCTAAAAGGAACAATCCTGCCATATGAAACGACAGAGGAAGGAAGAGAAAGAGAATGAAGGGAGTTGCTTGACTCCTAAGAAAACTAGCTCACCTCTGAAGATGCTGACGAGAAGGGACCAACCACTGTGGATGGAAGGATATGGGGAATGACACACTCCGTCCTGAGAGAAAGTTAGGAGGTATGGGTAGGATGCACTTGGTGCACCAAGGGAAGGACACTTGTTTATGGGTGTCCCTCTTAGGACTTGTGACTGCCTGAAGGGAAATTGAGTGTCCTCCCTGCGGAAGGGAAGGAAGGAAGTCTAAGATTGCTGGGGAAGGTTGCGAAAAGTCGCTTCCCATTGGTGGTCCTTTGTTTCACGTGCCGCAGGATGGTTTTCCGAGCTGTTGGTAGGAGTTGGTTTCACCGGGTTGGCCAGTAGCATTCATGCCAGGGAAGGCCGAGCCTCGCTTGGTACCTTACCTGGCGGGATGCGAAAAGGCACATCGGAGGAGGCAGTTGTTGCTGGCGGGAGAAAGACCAATGCATGTGGAGTAGGGGGGATGCCTTGGGGACAGCTAGTAGCTTCCCAAGTCAGCAGGGAGAAGACAATTTCCAGATGGTCCAAAGGATGTGAATGCACGGACTGTGAGCCTCGACTACTACTAGCGATATGCAGGGTGATTCCCGATGTCGACAGGGGCATGCAAGAGCGAAGAAGAAATGGGGTATTCTGGGCTCACCTCTGAAGATGCTCGACTCCTAAGAAAACTAGCTCACCTCTGAAGATGCTGACAAGAAGGGACCAACCACTGTGGATGGAAGGATATGGGGAACGACACAATGTCCTGAGAGAAAAGTTAGGAGGTATGGGTAGGATGCACTTGGTGCACCAAGGGAAAGACACTTGTTTATGGGTGTCCCTCTTAGGACTTGTGATTGCCTGAAGGGAAATTGAGTGTCCTCCCTGCGGAAGGGAAGGAAGGAGGTCTAAGCTTGCTGGGGAAGGTTGCAAAAAGTCGCTTCCCATTGGTGGTCCTTTGTTTCACGTGCGACAGGATGGTCTTCCGAGTTGTTGGTAGGAGTTGGTTTCACCGGATTGGCTAGTAGCATTCATGCCAGGGAGGGCCGAGCCTCGCTTGGTACCTTACCTGGCGGGATGCGAAAAGGCACATTGGAGGAGGCAGTTGTTGCTGGCGGGAGAAAGACCAACGCATGTGGAGTAGGGGGGGTGCCTTGGGGACGGCCAGTAGCTTCCCAAGTCAGCAGGGAGAAGACGATTTCCAGATGGTCCAAAGGATGTGAATGCACGGACTGTGAGCCTCGACTACTACTAGCGATATGCAGGGTGATTCCCGGTGTCGACGGGGGCGTGCAAGAGCGAAGAAGAAATGGGGTATTCTGGGCAAACGAAGAGGGGCGATACACTGTGCCGGAGTTTGGGTACCACACTCGCGACGGTTGAGCTGCGCTTAAAGAGGGGTGGAAGCCCCGCCGAAAGCAAAGTGGAGAGACCACACTGGATAAAAAGTCGGTGAGGAGATGCCCGACCTATACGTGAGATTGCCTGCATACCTTTTTTTATATCCCTCTCTGTAAAGCTTGGCTGAGATATGAGTCGTTGGACGAGTGGTCTTATCAAGTGGCCTCTTTTAGGGGTCCTCACTGTTTTACTTATGTCCACAGGCAGACCACCGATGACTGTACAGCAGCGCCACCCTTATGTTAGCCAAGTTCAGTCACAATGTAGAGCCACAGAAGAGTATGATAGTAGAACACTGCCAGCTGTTCTATTGACTTTCCTGTGAACTCAGATGCAGACGAACCAATCTTGCACTGTGGCTTGGAAAGCTGAGATCAACAGAGAGCTTATCCTACCTTCTACTGCATCCTTGTGCATGTTCCCGGTATCTGTGTCTTTGTACAGCGTTGATGGCTATAGAGGTTCATTAAGGACAAACATACGTATCCAAGACAGAACATCATTTACCCCTGTAAACATAAAAATGTTTGTGAGTTGTGAGTCTTGCGACTGATAAGTGCCGACAGATGGTTTGCCATTGTTAGTGGCTTTTTAAAATCTCACTTTTTGATAGGTACTTGACGCCATTGTTTGGTGTCATTGAATTGCAGGTGAATCTGGAGCTGCTGGAGGCAAGCCAGATTGCGAGGCCAGTTGCACTTTTGCGTTGTCATTCTGAAAATGCAGTCTCAGAAGCTGCTGAAAAGCTGGCTGCGCATTGGGCCAATCAAATAACAAAGGTGAGTGGCCCTTACTATTATTCATACGCGCTGTCCAGGGAATGGGGAGGGAGAAAGGACATATGGGGAAGCAACATTTGCATCAGTTTGGTGCCTCGTTGCAATTGTGAACTGGAAAGAAGCAGAAAATTGTATGAGAAACGTTAAAGCAGAAGCTATTCTGAACTTCATTTTCGGACGCAAGGGTTGGTACGTGGAGTAAAGCCATCCATGGCATGAGCTGCAGTTTTAAGAAAACATTCAGGCAGAGAGTGCAATGAACTCAGTTCACAATCCGCACAGACAATAGGCCAGTGTCGTAACTTTTGGTCCAAGTCCGGATTCAGCGGTCAAAAGTCACGTCTCTTGTCTTAGAGGCATCTCAGAAAAGTCCTTGGGTCAACAGGTACCAGATCCATGGTCAAAAGAGGCTACCTGTACCCCATGCTAGGTAATTGACTCCAGGAAAATCAGCAGTCAGACCCAAACTCGGGAAGAGTGGGTGAAGAGTCAGAGATTTCTCAGAAGTCAACCACAGCCACAGATCTGATGCACAATCAAAGCTGTCCAGAAGTTTCCAAGGCCTACTGGGTCCAGCCAGGGACACATTGGCCGACAGAAAATCTGGGCCGCCAAGATTGAGAAGTCTCCACTGTTTGAGAAGGCAGGCTGAGGCAGGCCAAGGCTGGTCAACTCTACAAAAGAGCGGCCAGCCCCAGCAGCTCATTCATTCTGCCTCACCTTGGTCGCCATACCACTACTTAGCAAGGTAGAGAGAGAGGAGGCTGGTGCCAGAGAGAGGAAGACAGCACCAGCCCAGAAGAGGGGAGAGAGAGTGGTCATACCTAGGAACGGTGCCCGAGCGCCTAGTTGTAGTGTAGACGTAGGGCGAGGAAGAGGGTGATCAGGACCTGCGAGAAAAGAGAGAGAGAGAGAGAAGAAGGGGGGGGGGGGGGGGGGGAGAGAGAGAGAGAGAGGGAGGGGGAGAGGGGGGGGGGGGGGGGGGGAGATTTACCTGTTGGTGCTGGTGATACTGGAGCTGTTGTTATACTCAGGCGGCCTGAAGGAAGGCAGGCACCAACCTCGATATCCAGGTGCTGATGCTCGAGGTCGGGTGTCTATCTGGCACCTGCAGAGTGACTTCATGAGCGTTTTCAGGGCAAGGTTGTGGAAGGAGGAATGGAAGAGCAGTCTCAGTCGTATCATCTCTATACTCTTCAACACCTGGTCTTGGGCGACACTGTCCTTCGAGACCCATTTCCCAGTCGTTTGTCCCAGGACAGTGCAATTTTCTTTTCTACTTTTGTGGCATTGCAGTTCTTTTTCCTTTGTGGGGCGTCGTCTGTTTAGTTTCTTAGATCAGGCGATTCGGAGTTGATTCCATTTTTTTTGGGGGCCTCTGTAGTCTTGCTTTTACTTCGTTCTCATTTTCCGTGGGGAAGGTTTTGTTTCTGTTTGCTGCTGTCGTTGGATGTTCAAGTACATAGCAGGCGGATTTCGATGGAAGTGAGTCACGTGACTCATACCAACCAGGTCACCAGCTCGAGTGTTACATGCTGCGCCTGCAACAGGCTGCACGGGCCACTTTCAGGCTCGTGACGTTTTCAGGCCGAAAGCCTGAAAACAAGGGCCCACAGTACCCGTGTCGTTTCAGCCTGAAAGCCTGAAAACAAGGGCCTACAGGCCCTGTGTCGTTTCAGCCTAAATCAGGGCCTTTCCGGCCCTGAGTCTTTTCAGCCTGAAACTGAGGGCCATTTTCAGGCCCTCATGAGTTCGACCTGCCCTGAAACTCAGGCACCAAACCAGGGTCTTAGCACAGGCCATTCTGGGCCTGTTTTCAATCAACCCCTGGTTGAGCTTCAACGCCAGGGTCTGGCACGTTTCGGCATTGGCAAGAGCAGCCTCCTGGACGGGCCAGCACTATATAGGACTGGAGGTAGTTCCTAGGTACTTCCCAGGCATTTCACGTGCAGTTCAGGAGGTAGTCTTCAGGATTCGGCAGCAGCACTCTGGAGGAGCGCTGCGGGAGTAGTAGTAGCGTTAGCAGTAGTCTTCAGCGCTGGGCGCTAGTAGCGTTAGCAGTAGTCTTCAGCGCTGGGCGCTCTTATGAGCTAGAGTAGTACTAGAGAGAGAGATTGGGCGGAGGCCAGGAGTACTTTCCTGCAGCGCCATAGCTCCAGCTTCGCCTTCGAGGTACCTGCAGCACAGCGCCATCTTCACAGATTAGTACCTGGCATATGAGAGAGAGAGAGTTCTTCCTCTTCCTCTTCTCAGTCCACCATCTCCCTCTCACCCTCTCGCTACCTGACTTCACTGCATCAGCAGACTATGAGAGAGTGGGCTTGGTAACCTTTGGATCCAGACTCGACACTGGGCTTCGGACATTTTGACGAGGGATTATTTGGGACTTGTAACAAAGACTTGGTGTTGACGACATTCCCATCTCTCCCCCTCTTCTTCGTCTGTTCCCCTCCTCTTCGTCTGTGCATGATTTGGACCTTGCGCATTCTTCCTGTGTGTAGTGCCAGGCCCCTTCACACCTTGTGATGAGGATGATGTATGTTTGGTCTGCGTTGCAACATTGATTGGCTAGTCATTGGTATTCTAGCATTCTGCTGCACTGTCTTGCACTACGTGATAGAGGTCAGTCCGGGTCAGGTCAGGACTTGTATCTAAGTCTTCCCCTGCGCTATAAAGCACCATTTTTGTATGTATCAGGATGTACACTGCTTGTTGAGATTTCACTTGCACTGCATTGTTCATTCAGTCCTTTTTATCACATTGCAAATCCTCGGTTATTTATGTACATTGCCCAACTGGGCATGTAATATCGAGTCTGGATGAGATCATCCCAAAATTTTAAAAAACAGATATCAGGGGTGTTATTTTTACTAGTCTTTGTAGGATTGGTGCTCTTTGTAGGATTGGTGCTCAGGTCAGCCATATGGGCGTGGCTTTTGGCTTTGCAAAGCAGAGCGATATGTTCATGGTAACTGAGGCCTGGGACCTCACTATTCAACCCCGATATACTGGGGCCATTACCCAGCTTTGGATGTTGCTGGGGAGCAGGTTGAGCGTCCCTTCCCCTTCCTAACAATGCTTTTTTAAACGAAATAACACATGGACGCTCTAGAATGATTGGCATTCGAGGCTCCGACGAACCATGGGGGGCCTCCCACATCCCAAGACCACCCTTCCATATGCAATGACCCATACAAAATCAGTCTGAGATTTATGCTGTTTTCAAGAGTATTGCTGCTTTGGTGGTCTGATTTGCTATTGCTGCTTTGGTGGTCTGATTTGCTGAGATTTCAGTGTTCTGTGCAGTGTTGTCAGCCCGATGGGCAGTCGGCACCCCTGCAATTGGTCGGGGACAACCAGCTGACTGGTTGGCCTGTTGACACCTGCCGGCCAGGAGCTGGTTGGCACCCCGCAAAAAAAATAAAAATAAAAACAAGCAAGACCTCCCTTACCCCCCATATCCCCCCCATAAACCCTCTAACMCCCCTATAACCCCCCCAAGCCCCCCTTMCCCCCCCTAACCCTCTCATAACCCCCCCCGTTCCCCCCCCCCTCCCCCCCCCTTTATCCCTTGGCGTCCCCGTATAATTCCCCCATACCCCCTCTCCTCCCAAGAAGTTTCTTGGCAGATTTGGGTTGTACTCAGCAAATGGAGTAAAGCTGTAAAGTCAAAAAAAAATCAGCAGATGGCTGTATGCTGACTGCTCGGCAGACCGCCAACTGGTCAGCCCTACGGGTAGGCTGCAAAATCGTCGGGGTCGGCGGTAGGCTGCAACCATGGTTCTGCGTGAGTTTGACATTTGCTTACATGTGTGTAAGTCTGTGTGACGATTGCTATGCCGAGTACAAAGTGTGTGCTTGCCTGTGTCTTCTGTGTCTTAGGCAGGGTTGATCAGAAATAAGGAAACTGCAGGGACAAGACTAGAATTGGGGACCGCACAAACTCCTAGAAAGGCCAAGATGAACAGGGACACAAGTAGAAGTTGCGTAGTACCTGATAGGGATATTTCAGGGCGTTTCATAACAAAGAGAAATGGATGGTCTTTGGACTGGACACCCCCATTGAAGAGCTGGCCCTGGATCTAGTAGCCTGGCAATGGACCAACCGAAATAAACGTTGTCAAGCGCATGAATCCTTCATGGGGCCCTCCCGCCCACGTCACGCAGGTTTTTTTTGCATACCAGCTGTGAAAACGGTGGAGCAGTGCCACAATCCAGCGTATCGGTCCTCCAAAGGGGACCCTCATGTCCGCATCATGCAGGATTCGGCATTTCGCAAAAATATAAGGAGCTTTGCCGTGTCGGTCGAGTGCGCCAGCTATGCCGCTCACAGGTCCCTATGACAGAATAGAATCTCGCGAGGTACAACTTACCTCAACCCAAGGCGGAGTTGTCACCATCCTTAGGTAGGCATATACTTGTCGAGCTATTGAACCACATGCAGAAGATTTTACATGCACCCGACCGAGAGCATTTCTCGTTTGCTGTAGCATAGGGGGTACACGTGTTTAACGCTCGAATCAAACCCTTACGTGAACTGACACTTGGGTGATGATCTCCCAAGCGGCCCTACGCTGGTCGACTAGGGCACCAAGTCTAACCATGCGACACAACTCTCAGATAGTACTACCGCAGAACAAAAGTGTATTTTCAACATGCCGCACCCATAACTTATATTGCACGTGAACACTAAACTTAAATGTACATCTTGACATACACGTACCCTTCAGTTAGAATAAAAGGGGTGAAAAAAAAGGGTAAATCCATTAGGTGAGAGGATTGTGGAGCATTAGGTTGTCATTCTCACAGTTCCCAATGTAGCTTGACCGTCATACTCCACAAGCATCCAGCTTAAACATCGTAGTCACATCAGCTTCCAAAGACAAACCTGCATAAAGCAGACACACGTTGACGAAGCAGCATTGCCATGCACTAACGGGGTCAACCTCGCCATTTCTTGTAGGTCACACCCCCTTAAATTGCACCAACTCCCTTTTCTGTTGTTCAATCTCCCAAGATCATATTTAACCCGTTTAGATGGCCTTTGAAAGAAACCAGGTGAAATCCCAGTGAACCACCCCAAATTCAAAGGGCTAAGGTTTTAGGCCGAGGTTCAAGAGCAGATGAAAGTTGAGTCGCAAACCAACCTATGGCCTTTGAAAGAAACTTGGTGAAATCCCTGTGAACCACCCCAAATTCACAGGCCTAAGGTTTTAGGCCGAGGATCAAGAGCAGATGAAAGTTGAGTTGCAAACCGACCTGTTACCAACTTGTAACATTGGATGATGACGCTCAAAGATGTCTGAACATATTTGCAGGCAGCTATGACCTGTGCCACAAAAGCCAAATGCAGTCACCGTTGTCGAGTTAACGAAGGGCAACTCTATATCGCACTCTGGCCTACTTAGCACTCCATATTACTTGACGTTATCATCCCGTAATGATATCAAACGAACAAAAATTTGGGCAGCACCTCCCTTACTTCGATAATAATTACCAAGTTGGATTAGGAGAAAATACACCTGACATCAGGGTAACCGGTTCGGGACGGGCCGAACGCCCGAACGTATGGGACCCCTTGGGGATGCGTTCGGCCATTCGGGCCGAACGCGGACCCAAAAAAAAAGAAAAAAAAAAAAAAAACCAAAACAATCTGAAAAAAAAAATATTATGAAGAAAAATAAATTAAACAAAATTTGTCTGAGCATTACATCCAAATTCCTTAGCAAATTTGAAATAAAAATAAAATACGGAGAACAAATTGCAAGGAATATAAGTGTGAATGACAAATAGAAAACCAATGTTGCAAAATCACACAGATGTCGAGGTAGTCGTATCCAAGCAGAGAGTACACAATGCACCGAGAAACCATCCATACAGAGCAATACAATGAAGTAATGAGCCAATGTTCAAGCCCGTAGGCCACACCAACACAGAATCCCAAGTCGCTCCTCTCTGTCTGGCGCCTCCGAAAAGTCAAACCTTTTTGTGGATGCTCTTTCACGGCGTCCGGATCATTGCGCCGCAGTCTATTCGACCTTTGAAATCAATGACGACCTGCGAGACAACTTCGTCCACGGCTACCAAGCCGACCCCAAGTTTCGCGACAAGTACACGAATTGCTCCTCTCAATCCGGCGCCATCACACTACCGGATCCAAGAGGGGTACTTGCTTGTCCACACGCAGGGGAAGGACCTTCTTTGCGTTCCAAGTGACTCTCACTTGCGTACTCGGCTTCTTGGCGAGTTCCACGACGCTCCCGCCACGGGACACTTTGGAGTCAATTGAACGATTTGCCGACTTCGCGAGCGATTTTGGGGGCCCGACTTTCTCAGCCACGTCACACGCTATCATCGCTTGTACGACAATTTTGCGACCGGGCCGTTCCCCAAGCACAAG